CATTGAGCGCTCAGTTTGGGACTTTGCGCGAAACGCTGGATAGTGCGATTTACTCCGCCCACTGCCCAGTGTGAAAGCCCATTCAGATAAGGCTCACGATTCAGACACCTAGCTTAAGCCATGTCTTGGGGTCTCAGACTAGCAAGCCCCACTTTAGCTGCAACCAGACCATCTCGTCACACGTCAGGAGCTGGGACATGAGCTTAATCCCACGACATTGCAAGGAGCGAGTAAGACAATGGTGGTACTGGGTTCTACCACAGTGGTCATTTTGTAGAATTCCAACCACTGGAGGAGCTCACGCTCTCATCTGCCGTTGCCGATCATTCCCCGCCCACTAATATCGCAACTCTCTGCCCACGACCGTTGCTGCATCTTTCAGAAGCTCGCAGCAAGCATCACGTCAACTTTTGTACACAACGCGTCAACGACACTGACACCAGCCTCAAACGTAGCCTTGACAACGCCCGTAGTACCCTCCGGATAACGTGCAAGAACAGCAATCGCACCACCTGTTTTCGCCACTCCGTCTCCCGTCCAACCTCTCATCACCACGAAGATGTCGGAGGCGTTGAGCGTCTGTCCGGTGCTGGCGACATCATTGTGTGCGAGGAATGCGATGTTCTCTGGCAATATGTCAATCAAGATGCTAAGTGCGAGATGGATGTGCCTTGAACGTACGAGCTAGAACGAGGATTTTGCGCTCGAGTTTGATAGCGCGATTGGTGGCGGCGACTTGATCGACAACAGCGTCGGGCGCTTCATAACATTCGTTGCGGAATGGGCGCATGAGATCGTAGATGCGCTGTTCGAGCGCGTTTGCGGGCTGGGGTGTGGACATTGGCAAGGAGGCTTGTTTGAGTTGACGTCGGGAGGTTGGTTATCGTCTACGGGTGTTTGTGGAAGGAGAGAAAAGTGTGGAAAATGGTAGCTACCAATGACTAGAACGCCAAGACACCGCGACTGCATTGAAATTATAGACTGAAAGCTCGAGTCTTCACCCTCACCGCTCATATAATTGCCAATAGTGCTTTAAGATCTTCCTCCCTCCCTTCGCCGGTCTTCGTTCTAGTCTGATAACACAACGATTGCCTTAGCGCTTGCCCATCGCTCTCAGTGTGGTTCCACCTTCACTTCGGGAAAGAAGTTCGCCAACGCCCTGTCACACTCCTCCGTCAAAATTTCGATCACGCTTTTCCCGTCTTCCTTCCTCGCCCAGCAGCGCATGACGGTGTGTGTATACCCGTTCCCGTTGACGAAGATTCCCATTCCAGCTATCCCTCCGCCGCCTTTGATCATAGTAGACCAGTTGCGAGAGCCAACGGAGATGTCGATTGGAACGATGATTTTGCCATACGAAGACTGGTTGTGACGGATGATGAATGATATGTTCTCTTTTGAATGGGTCAGATACGATTTAATGCGGAAGAGTCAGTGTGGACGGGATGTCTACGTACCACAAAGTATGAGAAGCAGCCGTTCTTCTTCTACTGCTGGTGCGGTATTGGGAGCATTCTTGTAGCACTCCTCACGGTAAGGCTGTAGGAGATCGTAGAGTCGCTGTTCGAGCGAATCAGTTGACATGATGAGGTGATTGGTCGCGGCGTAATTGGTATATCGCAAAGTGGGGAGGATAAAGTGGATAGGATTAGACGTACGAGACTCCCATGTAGGCGGCAGAGTGGACCTGGTGTGTTTGCGCTAAGGGCAAAGCCTACGTCACTGCATAATCAAATGCTGGTAGCATATTCTCAGTGAAACATAGAGGGTCGTGCGGGACAGCGGAACTATCTGAGAGCTATGACTTGGGATCTGGTATCATTCTTATGACGCGGATGCCGAAGGCAAGTTTGCTTTACAAGCCGGCCCACTGACTAGCAGTTATCCTCCTCAATCAAGTCGACCATTTCCAATCGCGGAAGTGCGAGGTTGTGATGAATCTCCATGTGGCTGATGTGCAAGCTTGTCACCACCCACCCGGTTCTCAATCATCGAACCCACAATCCCTAGTCCTTGAAGTCGCCATATCCATCATCCCCCTCATTCTTCAGAATCTCTCTGACAGCCTTATCCACCTTCTCTCCGAGTGCCTGCACAACATTCTGGCCCCATTTGACTTGCTTCTGGACTAAGACTGTAAAGTCACCTGGGCCGTAGTGGATGCATACAGTTGTCTTGTGACCGACTTCGCTATTATTGTGGCCGCGGACATCGACGACAGTGATTGAGATCTGGGACGCGAGGATCTTGGGACCGACAGTATACTTGATCAGGAAGGTGATGTTGCCTGCATGTAGGCTGTCAGTTACTGTATGTCTTCATTGGAAAGAGTTGGACTTGCCGGCAATGGTCTCAGCGACGTTGGCAGGCAGACTGCCGCGGCGGGGGTCGAGGTAGGCGAGCATGTGCTGCTGTAGGGGATCGCGAACCATGGACGTCATTGTTGGGAGACGGTGTGTCGTCAATATTGGATATGGTGGATGAGACTGTAGGTGGGTGTGAATGAGAAGTGAAGCAAGCTACTTGGCCGGGTCAGTCGTTTCGACACTACTAAGCAAAAGTGGAGAGGGCACTCACCTTCACTTGCTCTCCCACATTGTCCTGGTCGTCCGAAGCGGTAGGTAGTGCTAATTTGGTGGGTCAACGAATATAAAAGCCTGGGGTTTAAGACAATGTTGGTATAGATTTCGTGTGGCGTCGTTATGATACCGATATAATGCTAATTCGCCTGTCGCAAACATCCACCACCCCGAGCCAGCCCACTGCTCCTTCTGATGCATGCCCAGGCGTGTACAGTTGGAAAGATATAATACCCAATGCTGATGATAATACACAATAGAGCCACCACATTACCCACCAATGATACAGTAAAGATACATGCAATACCTAATAAACACCTTCCTGTCCCGCACGCCAGCGCCTAACCGCGGCGCGTTTTGCATCTACAATCCTCGTCACCTGCCTTCCTTGATCTTGACACAATCAGCAAACGCGGGGAAGTTGCCTCTGAAGCTTGGTCCCAATGTCCAATTGTTCAGGTCGCGGAGGTGCGTCTCAAAAGCGGGGTTGATAAGCCACTGATCGTCTTCCTTGGGTAGCGGACCCATGGACGTGATACCGGCGGAGGTATGCGCCGTAGGAGGTTGTGGGGTGGAAGGGTCTTGCGGCGAGCCGGCGTTGACATGTGTGGAGAAAGGCGACGAGACCGAGACGGAGGAGGTCGTCGAGAGCGCTGAGGTATGGACTTTCGAAGCAGGGAGGAGACAGTCACGGGGCTCATAAGGCCAGTTCAGGGAAATGGTAGTCGTGAAGGGTATGAAGAAGTTCTCGAAGGATACCGGCGGGTGGCCAGCGACGAGTTTGTCGCGAAGGCGGGGCCTGGAATAAATCAGTCATGACGTCTTTTCAAACGAGTTAAGAAGCGGATATTAGTACATACCATGGGAGATGATCGATCCATAAAGCGTGAGCAGTAAATAGCTGGGAAGGTCGTGGTGTAGCCCAATGTGGTAGCCGATCGTAGTTCTCCTGCGTAGGTTCGATCTGCCAACGCATGATCAGGAACATGATGAATACTATCGCAACCTGTTCCGGTCTGCCGCAGATGTCCGGAAATGTGCGCAAGATGTCTGTGAAGAGCTTTGACAGGGGGTGTGCATCTACTGCGCGCTCGGGATACGCTAGAGACGTGAAGTTGGGGTAGTGTGGTCCAACCAGGGTCTTCATGGGTACGCCCTCGGCAGCGCGATTCTGACGATCTTGCAGAAAGTCGAGCAGGATGACATCCAGAGGGCATGTCGCCGGAAGATTGCGAGGTAACGTGAGGTGGGCGACCATGCTCGGTGCATACATGGCATGCTGGCTACTACTGACGTTGCTGGGTCGCGGCTGCTGTGGAGGGGGCAGGTTTGGATCGACAGCCCTCCTTTGCCCATTGTCGAGTATAAAGTCTACGCCTAAACGCTCATCGAAGGGCATCTCTGACTGTAGATGGGGTGTTCGCGACTGGTCGAAATGCGGCCCAGGACTGCCATTGGAGTAGCGGCGCAAGTGGCTGTTTGGCGCGTCGTTGGGGTATAACCATGCTCTTCCCCCCTCGGTCACGCTTGGGGAATGTACTCCGTTCTGAGGTGAGGCCGTAGATAGCTCGTGGGACGCGATGTGGTACTGTCGTGGTTCGGTAGGTTGCACAGGCGCGTCGCGCTGTTGGTGAGGATGGATTGGAAGGGGCGATCGCTCGGCAGCTGCTGCCAATTCTACCTGCTGTCAACATTCGTGCCTTCTTTGGGAGTAGTCATCGTACCATTGAGGCCACCCGTCGCACGCACGATAGGCTGGATGATGCTCAGGACGCTCTCGAGCCTCTTCCTGATGTCTCCGTTCTCCGCCTGGACCGCCTCCTTCTCGCGGAGGACGACTTGCAGGTCATGGTATGGCTGCTGGCTCTCCAAATCCCGGATGCGCTGATTGAGGCGATCGATCTGGTTCTTGGTGCGCTCGCGGATGGCACGTTGAGCTTCGCGGTCGTTTGCGCGCTTGCGGGCAAGCTGTTCGGGCGTGAGGTTGGCAACGCCACGCGAGTTGGGGCCAGTCCTGCGCTTTTTGTTGGGCTGACCATCGCCCGAACCATCGTCTCTAGGGGCTCCTTCGGGCGTGTCTGCCTCCGCCGGCGACGCCATGCTGATCATGGATGCGTGTGGGTTGCGACTCAGGACAGAAATGGACAAATCCTACCTCGAGTCATGACCCTGACACTGCAGCTGCGATGAGTTTTGCCTACAGCAAGCTAAGCCGGAGCAGGCCTAGTGGATGATCGCCGCCCTGATCGATCGCGGGGACAGTACGCGTGGGGGACGCGAACCTCGGGAATCTCGTCGGGTAACGCTCTCCGCACTTGCACGGCTCCCTGGAGTCTAGATTCAGACGCGCGCCATGGGGTAGCTAGTCTGCTGTGGGTGCTGGCAGCGTCTTGCTGCCATCGCATGCACCATCACAACACAATGGCAGATCAGAATGTAAGCAAGCTGGGCATCGCTTCGGCGACGCTCAAAGCCAGTACGCGCCTGCATCATCATGTCAAAAGCAAGCATTAACAACTCCAACAGTGGGCTCTGCGCTGCAGCGCTCCGTTACATCACCCTTCAAAGGCGAGAATGGCTCCAACACGTACTTCAAGGACATCATGTTCGCCATGTTCCGGACCAATTTGGGAAACCTCGACCTGGCGCAAGACCGGTACATGAACGGCGCATCATCGACGCCTGCGTACCTTCAGCATGCCGAAAAGTACAAGTTCGTTCCAGATAGCATCAAGCTGCCTAGTGGAACACAAGCGCATTGGCTGGGTAGTAGGAGCGCGAAGAAGGTCTTTGTGTACTTCAATGGTCGGTCTCCGCTTTTCAAGATGAGGGGCATGTCACTGATATGAACAGGCGGTGGATATGTGATGCCATGCACACCAGGCCATATGCTGTGGCTCGATGACTTCCAAAAGTCTCTCGGTCCCGGCGTATCCGCGCTCCTCCTCGCGTACGATCTCGCACCAGAAGCCAGATATCCCAGCCAGCTGAAGCAAACAGTCGAGCTGCTTCACCATCTCGTGCACGTCGAGGGGCGCAACCCTTCAGACCTGATTCTGGGCGGCGATTCGGCTGGCGGAAACCTTATACTCGGTCTGCTTTCGCACCTCGCACATCCACATCCCGAGATTGCGCCGTTGGAACTTCCATCCAAGATCCATGCCGCGCTTCTCATCTCGCCATGGTGCTCTTTGACACAGACCAACACGCCAGCGTTCGTCACGAACGCACAACGCGACATGTTTGACGCGCGAACCCTTTCCCGCTGGGCGACTGCCTTCCTCGGCTCCTCTTCTCCATTTGCTGGCGACTTCTACAGCGAACCCGTTCTCGCAGCTCCGGAGTGGTGGGGCCCTGTTGCCGATTATGTGGAAGAGGTCTTGATTTGGGTGGGCGATAACGAGGTGCTGAAAGATGGCATTGAGGCATTCGCAAAGAAGTTCACGCAGGGCTTTGGCAGCAATGGCGGGCTGGCCACTACAGTTGTAACGCCAAAAGCGTGCCACGAAGAGATGGTCGTGGAGCGAATATTGGGTTACAAGGGCGATTCGGGCACCGGAAGTCAAGAAGTGGTGCAAACCTGGGTCAAGGCGAAGCTGTGATTGTTGGAAGCTTGGATATCATACATATGTACGAATGAAAGACTTAGGCAACATGAGTTATGCGGCCGTGAAGACCACAATGCAGGTAGACTGAACCTTGGAATGGTGCAATGAGTTGCCAAAGATGACGTCTTCTTGGTCACGCTCGGCGGTAAGAACAAAAGGCAAGGACGACGATTGTAAATTGGGTGGAGTGCGCAAGATTCAGATCCAATGTAAGATGGCCTGTGGGGTATACGAGAATACGAGCCCGCGGAGAGGCATCCGTACTAGCGCGATCGGGGCCTTCGGAGACCGACCGCGGGTGATTGTTACACCTACGCCATCAACGTCCTTTCGTATAGCTCCTCGGATCTGGGAGGTCGGCGCCTCGGAGGCAATTAACTGTGTCGAAATCTACGACGATCGCGTTTCCATGTTGCAATGTGGCTTCATGAGCTTCGTGAGCACCATGAGGCTCGCCGCGGACCGGTCCTTGGTATCATCATGACCGCATCATTTGCCGCTGACCTACCAAGCGAGGTACCTGGACAACTACGCAGGGCGTTTTCGTTATTTCGCCACGGATAGTCACTCACAATCCTGTAGAAACTCCACTAGTGATCGGACGAAAAGCAACATGGACTGCACTTTCATGACGCGCATGATAGAGTGCAAGTGAGATGCGGCTTGGGTGTGTCACCACACGCGTCATATCACCATCCACATGTACATAAGCTGCTGTCTTCAGGCTCCCCATAGAAATCATTCAAATACCATTCGAATTCCATCCCAAAATGCCTTTCACCACACAGCTCCGCACTATTTCCCGACCCTTCATCCAACAATCACAACTCTTCAAACGAACTTCCATCAGAATGTCTTCCACCAACGAGCATGGCCAGGGTGCATCGCACGCCACTGGTCAGAGTGCCGTCCCCAAGAAGGTCCAGGAGGCTGCACCAAAGGGTCTCGAGGAGAGCCTCCCTGAAGGTGTAAGTTGATTATATCTACCTACCACGAAGTGAAGCATGTTAACAATGCCACAGGTCCACCCCACTGGCAGCAACCCCAACAGCCAGTCTACCAGCAAGACCCATGCTCTGAACGACGGCGAGGACTCAATCGTCCCCAAGAAGGTCCAAGAGATCGTTCCCGAGTCTGTCGAACGAGGTAAGAGTTCTACATGCAATAATGACGCGATTCTGACACACATGAAGCTCTTCCCAACTCGATCCACAACACCGGAGACCAGTAATCGCGTCTTACTACCCACCTAGGTAGTGCATGATTGGCAAATAGGAAGTTCACTGTATCATAATAATAACAATTAACGTCAATCCAAACGACATCGTGTTTGAAGCTGCTGTTTGTATTGATTATAGAAGAAATTGTGCCGTCAACCTACTCAAGGAATACGTTAAACCCCTACTTACAACCTACCCAGGTATAGTGGAAGCAGAAGACGTTGGACTAAACATTGCCTTGAGTTTCTATCCATCGTCGTTCTCATATGTATGCAAATCACATCATACCTTTCATCTGTCTAAGACATGTCACAGGGTTGTTCGCGCCGAAGGTTCCCGTCATCTGGTCCACGGGTGTGTACCTGACGCTAGTGTCGAGCCGCGGTAAACATGACGTTGGCCGAGCCCCACCATCCCGCCAGGGCTCCAGATCTTTTCCTAACCACCACGACAACACGCCTCTCTACCCACGTGTACGCATCTCACCATGGCCTCCGCAACAGCAGCCGACATCCAGGGTCCATCTCACCCAAACCCGCAAGGCCTCAACACATCGGCAAGCACACAATTCCCGGCTGTCAACATCGGCACGCGCAACTCGGTACTCGCCCAGATCCAGGCCCGCGCAGTCGAGCGAAGCTTGAAGGATGCGTACCCGGACCGAACCTTCAACATCTGTCCTGTCGTGGTACAGGGGGACAGGGACAAGATTACACCCTTGCAGCAACTGAGTCAAGGCGAGAATGCGAAGAGTCTTTGGACGGGCGAATTGGAGAGCATGCTGGAGTCTGGCGATCTGGATATCATCGTTCACTGCTTGAAGGGTATGTTCTGGAGCTCGCGCATGAACTCTCGAACGGATCGGGCTGACTAGTGGAACAGATATGCCCACACAGCTGCCAGACCACCTCGAGATTGGTGCCATACTCCAGCGTGAAGATCCCCGCGATGCCCTCTTGATCTCCCCACGCCTGCCCAAGGAGACGACGTTAGCTACCCTTCCGCAAGGTGCCACCATCGGTACGTCATCGGTACGACGAGCTGCCACACTGAGGAAGCTATACCCACACTTGAAGTTCGCCGACCTCAGAGGCAACGTCGGCACGAGACTAGCGAAGCTCGATGCCGAAGACTCCCCGTACTCAGCTATCATCTTAGCGGCTGCTGGTTTGAAGCGAATGGGTCTCGACAACAGGATCACGCAGTATCTGAGCAGTACGAGCGGAGGTATGCTTCATGCGGTCGGTCAGGGTGCCCTAGGAATCGAGATCAGGAAGAAGGACGCAGCGATGAAAGACATTCTGAGCAGTGTTCGATGCGAGCGGACGACAAGAGCATGCTCGGCTGAGCGAGCACTGCTACGCACTCTGGAAGGTGGCTGCAGCGTGCCTATCGGCGTTGAGACATCATGGAGAGGTGGCAAGGGCCTCACTATCGGTGCACAACCAGCAAAGGACTATGACAAGCACGGAAATGCGGTCGAGGAGGAAGAGCCAGATGTTGACGATCAAGAACTGGTGTTGAGAGCCATGGTGGTGAGCGTAGATGGCACGGAGTCTGTTGAGTACGAGGCAGCCCGCAAAGTTCGAAGCTCAGAGGAGGCAGAAGAGATGGGACAAGAGGTTGCCAAGGTCTTGATCGAGAAGGGCGCCGACAAGATATTGAAAAAGATCAACGTAGAGAAGCAGTGGGCGGCCAAGAAGCAACTCGAGGAGCTACAAGCCAAGGCGGCCAGCTCATAGATCAACCGCTGTAACGATCAATATATCACGAATCAGTGAAGCACCCTCAGTCGAAGATGTCGATGACAAGATGCTTTTTTAGCCTTGCGCTGCTTCACTAGTTGATGAACGGCTACATCTGTGTATGTGTTTGCGATCAACTCTCTGGAAAGGAATGCCACCTGAGTATCGATTACTATCAGCAGTCAGGACACAGTAGAATGTTCACAAAGACACAAACACAGAAAGCTCGTTGGCAAGGTTGTGACTCTTGGGCGACTCGATATATAAGAAGTTTCGAGTACGCAAAGTAGGACGTTCCTGCTATCAACTCCCTCAAACTACTAAGCACAAGCCTTCATACAGACATACTGCCAAAAGCATATTTCCGCTCCGAAGCATCAAACCCACGTCATCGTGCGCAAAGCCATATACCCAAGATCATCTCTACCCAAGGACTTCATAAACTTTTACTCCCGACATGTGCGAAGAAAGATGGACTCAGTACAAGGACTGCAACCACGAGCATACCCCCATGAGGCGAACTATACGCTGTCACCGACTCGAAGACGATGTCAACGCAAGGCAGTGTCCGCGGTACAGTCGCGTGCGCCGGACTATCAGGTATCCGGATATGTGCGGCACCTGTAGGGCTAACGGGGCTGTTCCTGACGAGGGTTTCAAGGGTGGAAGATGGGATAGTCGGTAGGCTTCACGGAAGGAGCAAGTAGAGGGGGCCATGAGTGTGTTGACAGTCATACGAGGGGGTGTTTGGAGATGTGTACAAATATGAACAATTGTTGGCTGACTTGTATCCTATGAGACATATGCCACTTTTCGATATCGGCAGTAATCAGTCACAAGTGAGGAAATCGACTTTGACTTGTATGTTTCATTGATTGAGGGCTCCTTGATGGAAAGAGAACGCTAAGACAAGGAAACTGAGGCCAATCAGGTATAACTGAACAGTCTCATTATCATTCCGATACTGAAATCATAGTACTCGTCTTGGTCGCCTCGACGATATGGCTTTTTTGTTTGAAGGCGACTTTTATTTTAGGAGCGGTGTTGCGAGCTGGCGACGACCTGGACCCCGGGAGCTTCGAGAAGTTTGTCAGCCGCTAAATCACGTGATACCGCGCCTTGTCGCTCTCGCCATTAACTCTTGGACGCACGATCGGTGCGGCACCTTCGGGTCTTCGCGTTTGAGACATGATGAACATGGTAGCTTGCAGGAACTTCGGGCTCAAGCTCTCTTCTCTTCCTACATCTAACCCCGCTGTCGAATTTTCCGTTGGATATATTAACGCTCTCTCAAGAAATTCGTTGTACCTTGTCCTGAGTTTTATCGACTACCTAATCGCCAGGTTCGCTTCGCAGCGACACATCGGCGCTCATAGACCCGTACGCGTCGAGAACCCGCGCCGCATCGCCCAACAATCGCTCTAAGTAGTATTAAACTTACCGTCTATACTCAATCACGCAGTTCGAACGGAGTCCAGTACAAAAGTGTCGTACCTGCATTGCTAGTTGCATCGCTGCTGACGCCAAACGCGACACGTGCGCGACACTAAGGGCTCGACCCGCAGTAGCTTCGTCTGCAGGCATTGACCCACTTCATTATGGGCATTCCGGGGTGTGTGCGCCTCACGAGATTAGATCAACTAATAGCGTTAACTCCTCACCATCAGTTTACGACGGTCAATCGAAGCATGCGAGGAGATTATACCCATAGCATGGCTTGCCGAGGAGCATTACGCAGAATATGGAAGGCCATTGAAGATCGCGGTCGACGAAGCAGATTGGAGATTTCATTCTGTGTCACCAGCCCAGATACAAGCAATGCGCAAGAGTCAGACAGCCTGGAGATGCTTCTTACTATTAGAGTCAATGACTAACTGCCTGACGCAGATGAGCCGCGCTGTAACCCGTTAGAACGGGGTATCTTTCATCGTATCTGCAAGATCCTTCCCTTGAACATCCGGCTCGTGTTCGTGAGCGATGGACCAGATGTTCCACCAAAACGTGGCCGAGATGCTGGACGCCGGGTAGATCGCAAACAACGTGCGCTCTTGAACGAGATCCTGGATGGGCTTGGAGTGGCTCACATCGAGGCACCTGGAGAAGCAGAAGCTGAGTGTTGTCGCTTGCAAACTCTTGGTCTCGTAGATGCTGTGTGATCAACAGACTCTGATTGCTTGATGTTTGGATGTACCTTTTGGATCCGCGATCATCGAATAAGCACAGACACGTCAAAAAAGAACCAGCATAATGGCGAAAGCAAGAGAGACGAGAAGCGGGTTAGAGTGGTCCACGCTAAAAAGCTCAAGGAGAAATGCCGACTAGATCGTCAAGGCTGCGTGCTGTTTGCCATGCTTGCAGGCGGCGACTATAACGAAGGAGGCCTTCCGAAATGCGGTGCTGACAATGCCCTGAAAGCAGCTCAAGCGAGTCTTGGTCGCAGCCTCTGCAGCAGACAAAACCAAGACGAGTGTAGCAAATGGGGCGCTAATACCCTCAGTAACTTCTTCAAGAAAACAGCGCCGGGAATCACTGTCCCTCCGAACTTTCCACGATACGAGCTTCTGCAGTTCTACAACCAACCCAAGGTACACTCCGATGACTCGCTCCGGGACCATGCTAGAGAGAATATGGACTATGTCCATCCACCTCGTGAGACACACTTGTTCCTCAAAGCGTGTCCGCCAATCAACATGATTTGGAAAAAGTACCTCAACCACGTTGGCCCCATACTACTCTCTCGCATCCTTGCAGCCTGTGACGAGCCGTTGCCTGGGACGACTCCGTATGGCCTCACTCTCGTGAACACACGACAGACGGCTGCAACGGCCCAACTATCTCACGCCCCGCTAGAGCGGAAGGTCAAATTCAGAGCGTTCGATGTCACCGAACTGAAAGTACAGGACTTGGCCGCATACGTAACACAGAGAGACAAGCCGATACCAGATATCAACGAAGCACCTGGCCATGTTGTCACTTACGAAATGCCGGCATTTCTCTTACGCAAGGTCTTGCCGATCCCCACACCGACAGTAACGGAGCCTAGTGGAACAGAACATCTGCCGAAGCGAAAGCATTCAACCTCTGATGAGCAAGATACGAGTAGCCCAGTCTCAGCAAAGAAGATGCGCCAGCCTGCCAAACCTGCAACTCCTGTCACACAGCCCTCCATTACGTTTCCAAGTAAATCCGCATCTTCTCCGTTGCAGAACAGCACTCTGGTCTCACCTTCAAAGCACTCACTCCAACATTCGCCCTTGGGTTCCACCACATCCCCCGCCACACCCGTAAACCTTTCAGATGACGGCCTGCGCAGACCTCAGCCGCGAGGACCTAGACAAAGTCCGAGCGAAAGGTTTGCACTCTTGCTTCGAAGCGTCAGGAAGGAGTGAAGGCGATGTAAGGACTACGTTCACCGAATGCGCATGCTATAGTACGCGAAAAAGGACCGTGGGTATCATTGAATGAAAGTAGCTACAACCGCAAATTCTATGCCATCACTGTCTATTGCTGTGGTTTATACACCATACCTCCCGTCCTCGTATAAGCATCTGTGCTCGCCGGACCAGCCCACCGTCTACTAACCTCCTCTCTATGCTTAACCTCCCTCTCGTTCTGCACAGTAACACAGCAACAGCAGCAGCATCCCTTGAGCAAATCGCTCCCAAAACTGCCTTCAAGCTTATACGCGCGCCGAATACGTGTCCGTTGAAGCATAGGGAATAGCCACCACAGTCCACAGGAAAGGCCCATGACCATGCAGTGTCCGTTCGTGGAGCTGTGACCAAGCATATCCGTGGGATCTTTCTTCGCAGATTTCTGGGACATGCGGTATGAAGTGCGGCCGTACAAGATGCAAGGGCAGAAAAGACCTGTTAGGCAGGTTGAAGGGTCGGGGCTGCATGCGCAGATGCCGTTTGACCATTCGTGTGATTTCTCTAGCTCCATGTTTGGGTGCGATATCTGGCCTGGCTGGTGTGCAGCAAAATCGAGGCCGTTGGGGCCGTGTGCGGCGTCTGGGGAGAATACGGCGTGGAAGTTGCTGTTCTGGTTCGAGAAACCGTGTGGTGAATAGGGCTCGTTCGGATACGGCGAGGTTCGGAGCGTGGGGGAGGTTGGAACATCTCGCGGCTGTTCTTTGTGCATCGAGTTGGCGGAGATGGGCGTCATCGGTGTCTTGTGTGGTAGCGGCGAGGTTTGATGTGTGCCCGACGGGGGCGTAGGAGGGATGGGCGGCATGGCATACGTCCGGATATTCGTATTGATGGGTGACAGGTTGCTCATCTGCCGAGCGTGCCTGCTCTGCTGTGTCTCGACCTGGGGTATCTGATGAACAGGTTCTGGTTGTGGTATTGGCGAAACTGGGGAAAAGTGTTGCGCTTGCGGAGCATGCTGAGGCGAGTTGGGCGAGACGGGGGGTTTAACGTCATGTGCGTAAGACGGCGGCATGTAAGCTATTTGCGATTGGGGCGGAATGATCGGGAGCTGCGCGTCAAGCATTGATTGGGGGCGAGGGTCGATCGGCGTGTATCCCACTGGCGATGTTGGTAGTGAGATGGGCATGGAATGTGGCATGGGCGGATCATTCGGCGAAGATGTGTATACGAAAGCACGCATTTCTGCGGGTGTCTGCGCATACGAGAAGTGCCGTGACGAATCTGTGTTGACTTGAGGTTGCTGAGGCCGCTGGGGTTGTTGAGGCTGCTGAGGTTGCTGAGGCTGTGCCGGCTGCTGGTATTGCTGAGGTTGTTGGTACTGCTGAGGCTGATGCTGTGGTGCTTGCTGTTGCGGCTGTGTATAGGCCGGGGCATCATCCTCGAGAGGTTGCTGCCATGAGAACCTGTTGTGCTGCTGGGAAGTCATTTGAGGCTGGAGCTGCTGGTTCTGTCCATGCTGCCGGGGATCCATGATGCGCGATTGTCCTCAAGGGAAGTATTCTTGCAACGAGGTACTTCTAACAGAGAAGACGAGTTGCGTGCTCTATCGTATGTGAAACCGGTGTTTACTCAGAGTGTAGAGTCAGCGGGAGCATCCGGTGGCACAGTTGTTATGAGCTGTTGGAGGTGAGCTGGAATATGGGTGGGCTCAAGCCGGGGGCCAGGAGGTCTGATATCAGGTCAAAGGGCTGCACGTCAGGTACATGCACAAGTACGAGGTCCAAAGAAAGGCAGCCCTGCATCAGAGCCGCCTATCGCTCCGGTTGGCTCTTGGCCATGCTTCATGTCATAGGCGAGCAGCATAGTGGACGCAGATTCGTAGAGCTCCCGCCGTAAGATGGCTCTCTTTTTAGACTTGCAGTGAGGCGCGGGCTTGGCCAATTGAGGTTGGAGGTGAGGTGTGACAACGTTGTGGAGCGAGTCGGTCGGCGCTTACGGGTGGCTCGGCCCCAACGTGCAGACCAATCACGAGGCCCTCCCCTCCACTACGCGTTTTCGGCCACCGTTCCTGGGTCGCATTTAGGGCCCTTCTCTTGCATCCGGACAAAGGCTCCTCATAATTGGAAAACGCCGCAGTTTGAAGAGCAACGAGCACAGCCCGGTGGCGCAGAAACTGTGGGTCCAGGATTGTTCACGTGTTTCAACGCGATCGAGCCATGTCCTACGATTGCAATGCCATGACAGCACTGGGCACGTGGATAAAGACACTGTGCTTGGAACTCCACATGTACCTTCGCAGGTGAGACACACAAGAGTCACGTTTGAAGTGGTGACAAGTTTGATTCAGGACTATACAAGGGCGGCGGAATGCGCGCTCGCCGTAAAGGTATTATATGAATCGAGATAGTGAGGGCCGGGACGAGATAAGGGTATGATCTATGCGTCCTTGTCCTGCTGGGCCTTTCCACGCTCCTCCTTGTTCTCCGCGCCTGGACGCTCAGTGGAGACGGTTCCTTGCAGCTTAGCGGTTTCGGCAACGCCCTCGCCCTTTTTGCTCTTCTCTTCCTGCTTGGAGATCTGCGAGGTGTGGTGGGTGTTGTCGTTGGAGAGTCCCTTTTGCTTGCCAGACATCTCGTTCTGGCTCTTGGTCTCGTCCTTGCGGGGGTCGGGCTGTACTAGTTAGCGTCCTGTGCGCAATGAGCATGTTGATACACTGACCTTGTCAGACTGGTCAGGAGATTGGCTGTCCTTCTCCTCACTGTTCTCCTTGGTAGGCTTCTCCGGGTTCTGCTGATCGCTCTTTGGCTTCTCCTCAGACTCATCCTTGGATTCGTCCTTAGACTCATCCTTAGATTCCTCCTCGGGCTCATCCTCCTTGTTCTCCTCTCCGACGGTAGATCCGGTACCAGTCTTCTCGGCACCTCCCTCGCCGTGTGGGTCGCCAAGAGGGTGGTGTTCAGCGCCGTGGTTCGTGTCTTGGGTTAGGACAATGTAGAGACCAACACCGGTGCCGACGACGGCTGAGGCCATCCTGGATATCTCAGTCAGCATCAGGTATTTGATAGAAATTGACACAATGTGTACACAGCTTGGCTGCTTTACGAAAGCGGAATAGCACTTCCACACGCCAACTACTCAATTCGAGGGCTGTGTGCTTCCTAACGGTAACACGCTATATCCGCATTCGCGCTCATCTGCATAATCGAAATGGAATTGACATACCATGGGATATCGCTGCTCTTAGCCTCGCCCTCGGGACCGTGGCCGCTGGCGTAGGTTCGGCGTTGGACAGCTCGTTGCCATGGCTGGAGCTCGGCAGCGCGGATAGACCTCGCCGGGCGAGCTGCGCGTGCCAATGAAGAAGCGCGGAGAGCAGAGGACCTGATGAAAGACATGGTGAAGCTGTAGAGAGACGAATTGAAGCTCGCGACGGGCAATTGATGGCAGACTCGGAGTTGGGATGCGCGCAAGAGAAAGATCACGTCAGTCAGAATTATCGGTACGTCACATTGTGGCCCCTGCTTCCGAGGTCTAGCTCCGCGTTCTTGCATCACGTGTGCTCGACCTCGAATACTCGCGAACCTGCGCGAGGCTGCAGAGCCATCGCGTAACGATTGTACACGTGGTATCAAATCATTATCCGTAGAGCTCGCGTAAGAGTGTTTCATTATGCTTTGTGAATGAAAGAGATTATGTGAAAACAATGCCATCTGCTCACACCTGACACAAGGGGAAAGCTGAACACTCTAGAGCCTACGTTGACGTCAGGTCGTCTACTTTTCGTGTCTTGATCTTGATGTAGGCTCTAGGGTGTTGAGTTTTCCCTTGTATAAGGTGTTTACGCGTTTGGAGCAGCTCTTGGATACCCTGTAATTGCACAGAGGCCGTGCGCGGGTTGGAGCTCTGAAAGCGACGCAGGCAACAATTGTCCAAAAGCTCCTCCAACCCGGCCACTGGTGCCTCCCTCGCATACCAAAACTGCAGCTCCCTCACAAGCCTTTTCCCTTCTCTCCCTCCCTTCCGCTCCCCACCGCGACTTTGAAGCTGTACAGCACCGTCAACCCCGCCAAAGCTGCCCCACCACACCACACGCGCCCCAGACTGCGGGCTCACATCTGTGATACCAGACGCGCGAAGTGCTGCAGGCCTTCTCAACACCAGCCATGGCGCCCTCTTCGGTCCCGCCCAACCCCACCTCCCATAATGTCGCCCAGCTGCTCCCTCGCTTCGCCGACGATGACCCCGATTTCCGCTTCATGGCCCTGAGCGACCTGCACGACATCCTCCTCATAGCTCACCCCGGCCTCCTCCTACACGATGATGTCGTCTCGGCCAAGACGGTCGAGGGTCTCCTCACAACACTGGTCGACACCAATGGCGAGGTCCAGAACCAGGCCATCAAGTGCTTGGGCCCTTTCGTCAACAAGATCAGCGATAAGACGCTGCCTGTCATGATTGACAAGCTCTCTACGCTTCCCACTGGCAACACGGTCGACCAGTCTATACCCGCTATGGCCCTCCGCGAAGTCGTCATAACCCTTCCCCGTCCTACCACCGGTGCTGCGCGCAGCAAGTCGGTACAAGATGCATACAGCGCCATCAGCAGGGTCCTGATACCACGTCTGATCGGATACAATGTTATACAACCAGCACAACAGGGCCTGACACAACCGCCCAAGGGCATGTTGGAGTCAGACCTGGAGAAGGGCTCGGACAGCAACGCTCTTGACGTTCTCATCGAAGTCGCCAAGTGCTTTGGTCCTATGTTGCAGGATGTAGAAATCCAGGCTTTGCAGCAGATCACCTTCGCCATTCTCGAGAACGACCGGGCTAGCTCTATGATGAAGAAGAAGTCCGTCACTGCCATCTCGGTCCTGGCCGGTTACTTCTCAGACCAGCTTCTGAGCAGTTTCCTTTCAAAGGTCATCGAACTTCTGCGCGATCCCCACCTCACTCGCAGCAAGCGGAAGCTGTACATTACTATCTTAGGCTCCATGGCCCGGTCGATCCCGCGCAAATTTGGTCCCTACCTAAAGACGCTGGCGCCCTTTGTCTTGAGCGCCTTGAGCACACAGGAGCAAGACGAGGAGATGGATGTCTCAGACGACGAGGGTGAGCGCGACCCCGAAATCGACGAGGTGCTCGAAGCCGCCCTTATTGCCTTGGACGGGTTCCTTGCCTCCTGCCCGCAAGACATGCGCATGTACACCGACGAAACCATCGAAGCCGCGACGCGCTACCTCAAGTACGACCCTAATCTGGCGCAAGACGAGGACGACGAGGACGATGATGACATGCCAAGCGACGAAGAAGACGCGCTCGAGGGCGATGACTTTGAAGAGGAGACGGGTTATGATGACGACGAGGACGCAAGCTGGAAGGTCCGTAGGTGTGCGGCCAAGGTACTTTACACTCTGATCTCGACGCGGAGTAATGGCGATCTTCTCGACGACGGAACTCTCTACGACCGGGTTGCACCAGCGCTTATAACACGATTCAAAGAGCGGGAAGACAACGTACGCTTGGAGGTCCTGGCCACTCTATCCAACTTGATCAAGAAGTCGGGTGACGGACCCTCGCCTGTCAAGTTCGCCGACGAGACTCCTCAGAGTGGCACAATGCCACCACCGCCAAGCAAGAAGCGTCGTCGCGGCGGTAGCGATGCCAGTATGTTTGATCTGCAGGGCAGTTCGTCCTTGTCAATGGGCTATGCTTCACCCGCACCAGCTGGAACGCCTCCCGTCGGCCCTCGCGCAAGCTTAGCTAAGATCAGCCCGGAAATTGTCAAGGGCATCGCGCAGCTTCTGAAGCAGTCATCATGCCCGCCTACCACAAAGCAGGCGTCCATCTCTTTGATCAAGGACATTGTCATCACCCAGCGTGGTGGTCTCGATGGGTACCTCAACCAACTAATCAACCCTGTTGTAGAAGCTGCGAAGATTACTGGCGGTTCGACAAGTAGTGCTTCCGCTACCGCTAACACCTTACGCACCCAAGCTTTGCAGTTGATAGGAGCCATCGCCGATACTCACTCGTCCAAATCCATCCAGCCATATGTAGCGGCTATCATTGACGCGCTCCTCCGTGGGGTCAAGGATAAGTACAGCAAGTTGTCTATCGAAGCTCTGGCAGCAACAGAGCAGGTCATCAAGGCCCTCACACCTCCCCGAGCTGCTACAGCAGGAACGGAGAACCAGCAGCATCTAGAGCAATTGTTCGATGCGTTAGTCAACCGCATATCAGCGAACGACGCCGACGTGGAAGTTCGACGGAGTGCTATTCACGTCCTTGGATTGTTGCTTGGTAGGAGCTCTGGTGAACAAGGCCTCCTCTCCTCGCCAAAGCGAACGGCTGGACTTGAACTTCTGGTAGAACGCCTGAAGAACGAATTGACAAGGCTTGCTTCAGTACGTGCTGTTGATTCTGTCGCTGCCCACACCAAGGCGCAAAATGAGTTGTCAGCCAAATGGGTACAGAATGTCGCACTGGAACTTGCTGCACAATTACGGAAAGCCAGTCGCGTATTACGCGGTGCCAGCCTAAGCGCGCTACGCACTCTCTCATTGAATTCGCTATCACGGAGCCAACTCGACAACAAGACAAAAGCACAGGTGGTGGAGATGCTGCTTCCGCTGCTGAACGCCAGTGATCTACACCTCCTGGGACCAGCTCTTATTATCCTGGCTACATTCGTCAAGGACGACGCGCAAGTCATCATGACGCCCAGCCTCAACGATGCCCTTTGTCAAGTCGCTCAAGGCTCGATAAGCGGAACGCCGTTGGATGCACTCCTCCAGCTAGTACGCACTATCGGAGAGCAAGGCGCCGGAAAGGCCTTGATGCAAGCACTGCTACAACAAGTCGGTGTATCTGGGCATCCAGAGGTGGTAGGCAAGGTCATTGGTAACTTGCTTGTATATGGTGGCAACAGTGTTGGCGTAAAACTTGAGCAGTTCATCACCGAGCTTGAGACGGCACAAGACGATAAGCGCAAGTGTCTTGCCCTGGTAGTGCTTGGAGAATCTGCATTGCGCCTTGGTTCGCAATCTACCATTGATCCCAAGTTGTTCATCAAGTACTTCTCTGCTAAGTCGGAGAACGTACCACTTGCGGCCGCTGTTGCGCTTGGCAGAGCCGGTGCTGGAAGTGTCAGCAAATATCTTCCCGTTATTCTGTCATCTATGGGACAGCCTTCTTCACCGCAGTATCTGTTCCTACACGCTATCAAGGAAGTCCTTCAGCATGACGACACGGAGTCGGAGATCATCCCGTACACATCAACACTGTGGGAAAACCTCGTTGTTGCTTCGCAGCTCGAAGACAACAAAGCGATCGGTGCAGAGTGCATTGGCAGGCTTACTATCATTGACCCGAAGACGTACCTTCCTCAACTTCAGGTAAGCCCTCATAGTACTGTTTGTTTTCAACAGCTAACTTATAATCTAGGCGTTCTTGAACGACCGCAAGGAAAGCTTACGCGCCATGGTCATTTCTGCTCTACGATACACCTTCACCGATACCGATGAAGCCTACGACGAATACCTCCGCCCCATCGTTGTGCCCATGCTTGTACAGATGCTCAACGAGCCTGATCTCGAGAATCGCCGTCTTGCTCTTATGACGTTCAACTCCGCCATGCACAACAAGCCTGACATTATCCTCCCTGCACTCGACCAGCTGCTTCCACTGGCCATGAAGGAGACTGTCATCAAGCCTGAGCTTATTCGCGAGGTGCAAATGGGTCCATTCAAGCTCAAGGTCGACGATGGCTTAGAGATCCGCAAGAGCGCATACGAGACCCTCTATGCTCTTCTCGAGAAGGCCTTTGCACGGCTGTCACCCATCGAGGTCTCCGACTTTTTCGATCGCATTGTCGCTGGTATTACCGACGAGCATGACATCCGAGTTCTGTGCAACCTCATGCTCACCAAGCTCATGGTCATTGCACCAGACCAGGTCCGCTCGCGTCTGGATTCTCTTGCCGAGAACTTCCGCACTGTACTTGCCGTCAAGCCAAAGGAGAACGCTGTCAAGCAGGAGATCGAGAAGATTCACGAAGGCGCCAAGGGAGTACTCAAAGTGTCCATGCAGCTTAACAAGCAAATGGGCACCGAAGCCGGTATCGGTCAGGACGATTCACAGTCTCGCGTCTGGGCACAGTACTGGGATCAGATCCAGAAGGAACATGAAAAGGGTCTGAAGGCTGTTGCAGAGGAGCTCAAGGAGCGTGATCGCTAGCGGCGCACAACTAGGCCCCCTCTCTTGTACCTTAACAAGTACCCAAGCGATCCTTCCCATCCGTTAGATCCCATTTTCCGCGAAAAGTTTGCGCGATGAGATAGCACTAGAAGGACATGAAAGGATGTTCGAATGCATGGTTTGAGAATGACGCGAAAATGGGAAGTAGAGAAGGCAACTGGTGATCGCATCGACGCGATATGAATACGAAACATGATACCATCCAAATCATCCCGGGTGAGCTCCAGCATGTGCAGTAATGTCGTGACATGACTTTTCCACCATCTCATTGACAATCTTACCCAGCTACCTTACTTATCTTCTCCATCCAGAACCCCATGTCTCCCAAAAAGACCCATCGCCAGCAGCGCGAAATGCCCCCCAACGACTGGCCTTGCCACAAACGGGTAATCCGTATAACCCCCATCCCCCGTCGTCATAAAGTGATCAGAAAGCGCCTTGTCCGTACTCGTCTCATTGATCCACTTCGCCAACGAGTTCACAAACAAGGCTCTTGTTTCAGGTCGACTCGTAGCCGCAGCCCACATCTCCCAATCGCTCTTGGTCCACAGCCGTCTGTTATCGAGGGGAACGCCATACTTCTGGGCGACAGTCGGGTAGAAGTCTGACTGCATGGTGAAAAGAGATTTGGGGATTGCGCGCAGGTTGAAGAGGAGGGCTGGGAAGATGTTGTAAAGGATGCTGTAGGACTCAGGGAGATTGTAGGCGAGGAGGGTGTGGTTGTTTGAGGGGTCTATGGCTGATTCTGTCCAGAGGGTATAGTAGAAATCTGCGTTGCGTATCCATCTGCCTGCTCCATAGCCTCTGTCGCCATTGGCTTGGGCAATGATGCTCATGCAATTTATGGCGACGATGCCTTTTATTGCGAGGTTGGTGTTGTTGGCGATGGGTTCGTTGAAGTCGTCTTCGGGCTCGTTAGTACAACGTTCTTGGTGTTGACGTGCTGCTTTGTACTTGCCTGTCGTGGTCTGATGCTCAGGGTATGGGCAATTTTCTACGAGGTATTCCGACCATCGCTTAAGGATATCGTAGTGGCTAACAAGGAATGCTGTGTCGTTGGTGGCCAGGTAGTACGAAGCTGCCAGAATAACCATGTTCGCGCTCTCTTCAACGGGCATCGCTTCTTCTCCTTCTTCATCGGGAACGGTGGAGCTGTAGTATCCTATGGCGTTTGGGTAGAAGCGCCCGATATCGTGCATGGCATATCGCTCGTGATAGAGTCCAGACTCTTGGAACTCGAAGATGGGCTTGAGCAGTAAGCGAAGAAGCTCCGGGTTTGCATAGAGCCAAAAAGGTAACGCAGGGTAGATGACATCGGCCGTGTTTACTTTGCCGTCTGATGAGATCTCTTTTTGAAAGATGGTTGGACCCGTGGTGATATCTGCAGATTCTGTGAGAACGTTCGCGGCCAGGATCTGGCGGGCAGAGAGTGCGACGATGGCGTAGTACGACTCCTCTTCTGATAGCGAAGATACTTCTGCATGCGTATCTGTAACTTTATCCTGGGCATAGTAGTATGCTACATCATATCGCAGCTTCATGGTCCAAAATTTGGCCTCTTTCGCGGTAGCTGCGTAGTCTTTGTAATGCCTGCGGATCATGTTGTTGGTACTATGATAGCAGTTACTCGTAAGCCACCATGGTTGGAGCTCGATGTCTCCGCTAGCAGTGCGGTAGTTTACGGCAGGCTCTTGAGTGGTGCCAACAGTATACAGTGCTGATCCGGACTGACTAGACGCAGAACTATGCGAAAAACCGAACACTGGCATTTGATCCCCTGGTAGTCCCCAAGACTGATTCTTATCGAAAGAATTGTCCACTGTGCCTTCTTTGGCAAACTGCCGTCGTATAGTAGTCGCCAGACCGTTCGCAGTATCGAATTCGGTGCTCATGCCGGGAGAAGAGACGTAGCGCAGGCTGCCCCAGTATGGTTCTTGCTTATGGCCACGATCGGCCCATGAAAGCTCATCTACGATTAGTGCTTCCCTTGAAGCTGGTCAGAGTTATACTGAACATACTTTAATTCAACAACTTACCAATGAAACAATGTGTCGGGGGTCTCCGTTCCCTTGGGCGGGCATTGAATTTCGCCAAAAGACTCACCAGGGCAGTCAATGGTCGAGTTGAATGATACGTTGCCGCCCCCAAGCCAGATAGAATCGATGTCTGAGTAGAGCTGTACATCATGCGAAAGCTCATCAGTGGCGACAAACTCGACTTCCAGATAGCTGAGCGGAATACTGCTCTTGCAAAGATCTTTCGGTAGAACAGGAGAGAAGAATCGCGCTTCTACTCGCACAGGTCCAGCGACGAATGTAAAGTTACTGTAGTGGGAGTCGTAAGATACGGTAAGTGGAGTTGCTTTCTGGAAACCTTGTACGGAAGGCGAGTCTCCCATGTACTCATAAGCCGTTCCGTCTACGCGTATGATGCCAATCCATCCTATAGGTTCGCCAGTCCAGAAGGTGACATTCCGACTATTAAGCGTACTGCCGCCGGAGGTGGTGCTCCAAGCGCTAGTGTATGGGGAGCGGACTGCGAGAGGGATGGAAGGTGGTCGCAAAGGTGAGTAGGCCGGTCTAGAGAGAATGAGCAATGTACAAGACGGGTTACAAAAAGACAAATCCGCTGTCTTACCCTGCTTGTTGAGCAACGGCGTTAGCTATACAAAAGAGGAGAAGCAGAAGATATGAAAACATGTTGTCTGACATTGCTTGAGCATACAGCACGACACTGTCTCCCATGATGTGATATATAGAAGGCATCCAGAGACAAAGGTCTGTACTCGTGCTCAACGGCGCACAGCGCCTGTCAGAAGGCATGGTGTTCAATAACCGGAACGTTACCTCGATAAGGCTCCTCGCAGCATCGTGTTATACAGAACATGACTTTTGGGGTTTGTGTCAACGTAGATGCCTATCTAGGCAGGACCATAGATGAATCAAGTTATCCCCGCGTGCTTGCGCTCACGATGAGCATGCTGTGGGTCTCTTTTTCCCAGGTGCACAACTGTTTCGAGCCTATATTTTCCCCACACCACACTGCGTGCGATATAGATAACAGTTCATCTGATCTGATCGATAGCGTGTGATGAGGGTGCAAGCTTGCCCGGCCGCGTCGCGACTCGATGCAGCTGGGAGGCCAACGCGTCATCTACAGCCTACAATCTCCTCCTCATACAGGCGCGGATATTTCCACGTATCCAGCTCACATACATTGTCCAGTCTCTCCATCTTTATAGGTCTCATCGCGCGAGTATGGCTCTCCGGCACTGCTGGTGGAGCCTGAGATCGCTGGGCAGGCGGAGGTTCGCGCTTGTGTGAGTCGTCACCGCGCAAGCTCAGTATCGATTGGTAACGACCCACGGAGGCGAGGTGGGATACGCAATTGTTGACATTACGCGTCAAATGTTGCATTCGTGCGCTGGTGGAAGGATGGGAGGCATGTGCTCAAAAGTCGCGTTGTTCGCGACAAGCAGAGGACGGCGGACTTGCGCCTAAACCGTTTCGGATCCGACATGTCCGGACGAGCCTCCTCCGGGCGCTACTTCCACATGTCCGCTCGTACATCACCTCTGATCCACAACGCAAACATGTCAATCGCAGCTCTGGAAACGCCTGGATCACTGGCGCGTTCTCGCGAAAAGTCATTTCCGTTAGTATGGTGTAGCTGGGCGTAAGCACAACGCATGTCAGCCTTCAACGCCACCAGACAATCCAGTCTGCCCTATAAAGGTGTAAAAACAGAGCAGTATGACTAAGTTCGACTCGTCGGTCTCATAGACGTCCGACGCGGTATGCATGCCGTAATATTCATGGCTTCATGGCGTTTTGGCGCTCTAGACATGACTACATAAGACGTATAGGCAGTCGCCTTGCTGTATGCTCAGCACATCAAACCCCACCCAAACATACGCTGACAAAAACCTCAAAAGCCATCACCATGACTTCCAGTTCCCCAAATCAACCAAGGCAAGTCGCTGCCCTGCTTGAAGGCCAACGCAAGGTCGATGTATACGAGGCTACAGGTGGTGCCGTGACTTCCCAATTCGCAGCACACAACCTCTCGCTCCTCCCATCCATGCCTCCGAATGCCATCATCCACGACAACGCTTGTGGAGCTGGTACAGTCTCTCGAAAGATTCTCTCCTCAAACAAATCCTCGCGTCTTAAGATCTACGCCACAGACATCGACCAAGTCTTCCTCGACGCACTCCAATCAGGCGTGCAGAAGAACTCCTGGCCCATCGACGTATCAAACCAGAGGTCTGAAAACCTGTCGTTTCCAGACAACCACTTCACACACTCAATCAACAACATTGGTATCTTCTTCACTAGCTCCGCCGGTCTCGACGGCGCCAAAGAAATCTACCGCACACTCCAACCCGGCGGCACCGCAGTAGTAAACTGCTGGGAGGACGTCACCTGGCTCCCACCCTTCGCACTCGTGCATCAAGCCCTCCGTCCAGGGAAATCGTACCCCGCCCCGCCTATACTTTGGAAAGACGGTCAGCAGATCCAGAAAGTGATGTTGGAGGCGGGTTTCTCGCGAGCAAACATGAGGGTAGAGAAGAGTGAGGCCTGGGCGAAGACTAGCGACTTGAGAGACTGGGCAGAAAAGTCTTGGGCGTATTTGGGTGGCATAGGTGGGTGGGCGGAGACGGATGGTGAAAGGTGGGATGAGACGGTCGATCTGCTAGTGAAGCATCTTTTGGAGCAAGAGGGTACGAAGAGGGTTGGTGAGGAAGTTTGGATGAGGGCGAGTCAGTGGGTGGTTATTGCTACGAAGTGATTTTAGGTGATTTCAGCTGCTGGTATTGTTGTAAGGCAATCATTGAATGTCAAAGGGTTTAATTTATCATTGGGAGCTATAGAGTCCAAACATGTACTGCAGAGCTGCCAATGATCATCATGCGCAATCACTGTTCATAGCCATAGCTAGACCTTCCCCCCCTTCCGTTCACTCATGATTCTCAGTCGAACACTGGTCTTCGCCATTTAAGCGCAAGCAATGACATAGATCATGCCTGAAGATGGACTGGGAGTGTTGGAACTATAATCCGCGGAACACTTCTTGGGTGTGTTTGGTGGAGTCTTGGGCCTCGGTGGTGGTGTGGTGCCAGTGCGCGAGTCCTTGGTAGATGGTCAGCTCACTTGCAGATCAGATTGTTGATGCGATACTTACAGAGGGCTCTGGTAGCGCAAGGTCTCCTCGCTGCTTGTAGGGCGATGTGGGAAGACCTGAAGGTGCTAGAGGCCTTGTAGGTTCAGGGCCGAGACTCTGGTACGAGAATTAGCTTTTAGTTCATGTCCGTCTTCTGTATTACGAGTACCTACTCGCGTGTATCCGCCCGGAGGTGTTGGAGGTGGAGTGTCAGGAGGGTTGGGTTCGGGATTCTTGGAAGAGCTTGGAAGGCAAACAATCTGTTCGCTGAACAGAGGCTGGTGGATATCGCACATGTTATGTGTATGATCGAATTTCGATGGAGTGGACTGTAGAGTGCTGCTGTATGTGCGGTAGTAAATGCTGTAGCTGGATTCTGGTAGAGTTGTTTTGGTTGTTATGTAAGAAGTAATGGAGCGCATGGCGGACATGGTTATATACCTCTCTGGCTTATTCAATTCTGATGTTCATGTGCCCTTCAAGCGTAACAGCGTTTAGGATATCGATGATGCTGTGGAGTAGATAGAGCATGGCGAGATTGCGATAGGGTTTCTTGAAGGAGATGTCGTTATAAGACCTGCTCCGATTGAACAGACACACGAGTCTAGAACTACTGTGGGTATCCAGGTACTGAAATAGCGTCAACTGGTGCTAGATTTGACCTTTGCTTCCAAGATCGACCACGTATGCGGGAACGCCCATCTACCTGGACAAAACACTCAAGAGTCCACCTACGTGTACCGCGAAAACGACAAACATCACCCAGCAAGGCAACGCAAAGTATTCTTTCAGTCGGTATTGATAAGCCCACCATGATGAGCAGTAAACATTAGGTATGTTACATATATGTACACGTGCAGTCGGACCTCGTTATTAACAAAGTAAGAACAGTCTTCCAGCGACTGAAACCTTCCAACAAAAGGTAGTATATCGAGCACCACCCAAAGCAACCCCGAGAATCGGTGCTTGACCACCATCCAACATCGATACAAAAGACAATTATAAGATGTAGCGAATGTATAGAGTAAGGGGTATAACGCAGAACATATGGTAAAGTAACAGCGGACTGGCCGGGTATCAGAAAGAATGAAGAGGGTGAATATTCATGCAAAAGGCCCAAACAAAAACCAGATCGCTAAAGGACGTGACAAATGAAAAGCAAAATATGAGCAAGAAGAAGCAACGACAACGGTTATGCGAGAAGTACATGGTTCACGCCATCATCATGAGCCTTGTACCGCGCTTCTGGAGGTTTCGCGGTCTGTAATTGCCCGGGCCTAGGTTACTTCTCGGAGGTGCTGCGGCGCTTTGCGCATGTCGATCACAGTACCGCCGGCCAGCGACTTCAAAGTAGCCGTCGCGGAGGACGATGCGGCAGGTCGTGCACGTGAAACATCTTGGGTGAAACTTCTGGCGCAAGTCGGTTTCGAGATATTGGCCTTCGATGCCCCGGTTGCAGGCATTGCACAAAGATCCGTTGAGCTTGTGGTAGTGCTGTTCGCAATATGGCGAGTTCTCGAAGACATAGAACTCCGCTGTCGGGAAGGGATCGGCGCACGTTCTGCATGTGAAGCAATGCTTGTGGTAGCGTCCCGTGAGGCGGCCAGAAGAGTCCTTCACGGACTTTCCAACAATTGGCTCTGAGCACCCACGACAGTTGCCTTTGCTGGCAGCCTTAGGCCGGCGCACGTCTTGTTGCTGGGGTTCAGGCTCGGCCATGCGTCTTGGCGGGCTAACATTGACTTGCGCCGGGTCCTGGGGTGTTGCCGGCTCTCTTTCGAACGTGTCACGCGGTGTTGACGCGCCCATCTGTATGGCGGGGTCCATTGGCGACTCAGGGTATTTTGCATATCCACCAGGCGGAAACGTGTCCTGGCGATATCCCGGTGAAAGCGACCTTGGGTACGGCTCCGCACCATCGGGCCGCATGTAACTCTTCGGCGCTCGAACAGGCCGTGCTTCGGCGTAGGACTCCGGGCTTGCGCTTCTCTCAACACTCTCCTCGACAATGTTGTCAGGACGACTGATCTTGGAAGTCTGGCGTGAGTGCGCTGCCTCGGACTCCGGAGGGCTTGATCTGGAGCTTGTCATGCTACGGTAGCCCGAGCTGGCATATGAATCGTCTGAGAAGCCAGAGTCCGAAGGGGTGTGAAGTGCGTTCATGGGCGCATCACCGAGCCCAGAAGCTGCTAGTGGCGGTGGACGTAAGGAATGCGTTGGCGCAAGACCTCGTGGCATGTCGCTTTCCGAGCCACTTCGGCTTGAGCCGCGAGAAGGGAACATGTTGTTTGAGAGAGACATGAACTCCGGGGGGTCGAGATCGGTCATGTCTGCTGGCGGTAGATCTTTCTCTGATGGCCTCCTAGGTCTTGGTGGGGGTTCTTTCCGCTCTCTGCTGTTCGGTCGTGACGGAATTGACCTTGCAATGTTTTCTTGAGAAGCCCTGGAAGGCTTGGTAGATTCCTTCTGCAAGCGGTCTAAGAAAGCATCAATACCTTCAGCCTGTTCGGATGAGGATGGCAGTGGTGGCAGAGCATTGGCTCCACCCATGCCCGGCTTCGGGCGAGCAGGAAGACCTATG